GAGGGATCTTTACGGATCCGGCTTCCTCAGAGCTCCCCTCAGCTCCCCTCCGATTTCGATCTAATTGTGCCTGCCGAGTTTATTCCGTTGTGGAAAGTTAGAGAATGAAATGAAGCTGGGGAGAATTAGAGTATGAAATTTTTCTTTTCGAACATTACTAACTGTATTTATACTTTCACAGTTTCAATCGAAGAATGTTTGTAAGCTGAAACATGAGTGGCAATGTTTATAAAGTTTATTTATTCGAAGGACAGCATCGAAGGGCTTTTCCCGTTAGAGTCAAACTTGACAATTCAGGAAGATATTCCAGTTTTCTTTCAGATATAGTTAACTTACTCGTAATGGTCTCTAGTATCCCACATCCTTTGTCACACAGCACCATGCTCATGAATCGTAAAGGGGAAGTGTAGATGTAGCGCACGTAACTGTTTTTGTAAGTTTGTACAATGAAAGGTACATCGAGCGGAAAGGCGTCGTCTATTAATTTGTCAATTAAATCTAAACGTCATACGATATGAAAGGAACAAGCAATTAAATAGGTGAAAACGATAGCGGTATAAGTGACATGAATTCCGAGAAAAACGTGTTCATTTTCGGTTATATGTCAGTGCCAATGTATTTTCGTGGTTTTAATGAACAATGAAATGCAGTGGTTTTAATGATACAAAAAAGTACCACTACTTTGATTACTGTCATAATATAATAATACGTAAATAAACAGATTTCTCAAAATTTATAAAATGTCACTTATGCTGGTTCACCCAATCAATTGTGTGAGCATTTTTGGTTTAATTCTTATTGGATCTTTTGGTTTGATTCTTATATACCAGTATCTTAATACATAGTAAACAATTTTTAGTTTTTCCAAACCATCAAAATGCATGGCATTATTCATCAGGTGTCTGTATCAACAGCTCACTACAATAAATACATATAATTCATATACGTTACTTTACAACACATTGTTAGATTACATTAAACAGTTAAAATAGATACACTAATTTAAGTTCAAAAGAAAATGTTTTCTGCTGGGTGTCTGTTCCACAACAATTACAAACTATATTGACCTATAAAATTTCAAAAAAAAATTTAACAAAGATTTCATACATTAGTCTATATATGTGTTGTATAATTTAAAGGAATTAATATGCCTATAATAAGTACTGTATTTCCGTTTCCGGATCAATGACCCGTATCTTGATCAGGTTTTTATCCAGTTCCTCTGATCTGTTGATCTTTGCTTCCGAGTATAATTATAGCTTTACTACACGCACGTTTTATTGACCTCTACATTTTCTTGTTGTGGTAGGAGTAGAGCCGACGATAAGGGGTTACTACTTTGGTAGCAAAACTAAACTAGTGTTGGTATAACAGCATATAGTTTCTCGCATAATTTCTAAATTTGCAACTTTCAAACATTCAGAGAATTTACAGTTGTCACCACAATGCCTCTGAGCAGGGGGAGGTCTTCAGAGTTCCGATAAAGGCACAATTTTCGACACTGGCCACATAACTAGGTCGAGTTCTGTCGTAGTCTACAGGAAAATTCTAGCGATAGGCTGCCCTGATTGGTAGTTTTCCGTGGTTTCTCCGGACAATACGTGGCCAATACCGGAGCAGTACCCTAACAAATGGGCCACGGACGACGCGCGATCTTTCCTCCCCTTTCCTTGTCCTATCCTCACCCCTTACACACACTTACACTTACATGCACTATACTACCACACATGCCCAGAGAACCGATCGGGAGGTTAGAGCGTTTCCCGGCTGGGGCAGTTCTCCGCTGGTGAGAGATACGTTTGGAGAAAACCTCTGCTAGTCGACAGGAGATCCGTTCATAATCTCGCCATCCAATGGCGGAATATCACCGCCTCTTCGTGAGTAAAAATCATACACTACACTTACGGAACTAATGACTTATCAATTTGCGAGCCAGAATTACTGGTAATTAATCAATCATCTCACGTATAAAAGAAATTAAAAATTGTGGAAGAATATTCATAATTTGAATACTCTTTTGGATGTGATGACAACTTCAGGGTTGCGCTGGTTATCTAAAATACAATAATTATTAAAAACTGACAACACCATACTTGCGCAGTGTAATACTTGAAAAATAAACTTCTTGTCTCGTTATTCATCGCATTCTCCTTATTACCTCATTCATAAGTGACATCGACCTTTCGATGTCGTGAGTCATTTTAAAAACAATAATTATTTTACGTACCTTAATTGCATGGAACTACTGTGGGTTACAGGTAAGGTCATACTTAAATATATTAAGAATATATTTTCTAAATACAGAACCAATCTCTATAAATCCAACTTCATTCTCAATTGACTACAGTTTGGGTTTT